CAAATTCCTTTCCTTTTTGTCAATACACTGAAAATTGCTCATGGATGACTCCTTTACCATTACATAAATAACTAGGAGCTGATGTAATTAAGCATGAAACATTTGTCCTTGATTGATATAATTAAATATAATATGGTACTCTTATACCATGTTACTGACTCTCGCTAATAATGGCTAACTTAAAATATTGAGCACAGTATCTTACCATATGGTGATAATGAATTACAAACCATTAATTTGAAGTGTTAATCAAAAGTAAGACATGGAATTGAGCTAATTTTACATTTGGATTCACAAAGCAGAACCCATTCATTTGTTACTTTGACAATGAGATTTTTTTCTTGTCTAAATTACTATTTCACGTTTCTTTATTTCTTACTGAAGTCTTATGAAACCCAATTAAAAGGCTACTTTATTTTTATTTTTTCCCAGAAAAAAGGTCACATTTGAGAGAAAATCCATTTGTATTCCCCCTTTCTAAGTATAGGGGATAGGTCTCAAATTTCTATCACTAATCCTTCCAGGGAAGAAACTTTGTATGTAGAACGATTGTACCTTATTGAACTAGATCATTTTTCAGTTAAACAAACAGTTATATATCTAGCTTGAAATCCTGAACCAATGTAGCCAGCCTTTAGCTGCGAAATGTCATCAGCTACAGATAAGTTAAAAAAACCCAAAAAAACCCAAAACCCAATAAACTTGAGTTTATAAAACACTCACCATTAAAAAGCCAATATTTGACTGCAATTACTACACAGAGTTACGTGAAAAAGCTTCAGTAATTCCCTGTACTTTGAATAGGAAACATAGTAACTGGGCAAATAAATTTTTGAGTGAATGAAATGTAATTTTAGTTTTCTACCCTTCCAGAAAAATATAAGTTACACAATACTTATCTCATTTTGTGCTATTGATAGCTTAAAAATAAACCAAGCTAAGCATATGAGCATTATTAATAACAGATGTTTTTAGCTCTTTACTTGAGTTCTAGTGTCCCTCTTCATTAATTTGCTTTATAAAGGTGAAATGACAAAAACAAGATCTAGTCCAGAGCTAATTTCAAGGTCTGTCTAAATTGATTCCCTCAAGCTTTCTGGGGAAACAAAACAAAACAACAACAACAAAAATGAAAAAGAACAAAAAAAGTGGGGGGCATAGAGTTCTGTCTGGTAGTAATTTTTCCTAGGAATGGAAGCTTCAGTTTGTCAGGGATTTATACATGCATACAGCAATGTGAGTGTTACATCAGTGCTAACGAAGTCTAATTTAATCAGAGCAGATGTGGTCCACTTCTAGCAGTTGATAAGAAGGTAAGAAAACCTAAAGGGGAAAATTATTTGTTGTAATTATCTAAACATTCCCAATCCCTATTCAGACCAATTATGACAGTGTCAAGTTTATATATGAATTCCAGCTCTGAAGTTTCACACTGCAGTCTGTTTTTGAAGGTTTTTTGCTCAAAGTGACTTTCAAATCTATTACTCTCCAGGGAGGTTAAAGTGATCTCCTATGGATTTTTGTATGTATTTGTATGTACTGCTATGTTTTATTTGTGTCTATTTATTTTTTTGTGCAGAGATAGTCAAGTTTGGCCAATGTACATGGCAGAGGGGCATTTCAGTCAAGTTTGGCCAATGTACATGTCAGAGGGGCATTTCTGGCATAGGATGGCATATATCACATGATGTGCAGGTGAATGAGTCCCTGATGGTATGGATGATGTGGTTAAGTCCTAAGATGGTGTCAGAAGGGTAGATACATAGACAGAGTTCACAATGGGGTTTGTTTCAGGGATAGGTTCCTGGATTCGTGTTTCTGTTGTGGTGTGTGGTGTTGGTGGTATGTATTTGGTGGAACCAATCCCTGCAACAAACTCCTTGGCAAATGCTGTCCCTTTTCCTAAAATAAAATAATAAATAATGACCCGTATATGTGTTCGCAACAAATTCCTTGGCAAATGCTGTCCCTTTCCCTCAAATAAAATAATAAATAATGACCCGTATATGTGTTAGAATTCAAGCTTCCTCCAAATGGTAGAAATCCCTAATAAGATCATATGCATGTTCCACAGATCAATCTGTTGTATTCATGGGCAAAAATTAAGGTGATACAATGTTTCAGATCTAGGATGCCTCTGCAAGAACCTCAGGGAGTGAGCTATATATATGAACTGAAATTTCTTTATAGAACACATTTTTAGATGCCAGGATTTCTTTCTTTCCCCCAAATATTTCAGATTTATGAAATCAATTTGAAGAGATTTAAATGTCATTATTTATCTCCTCAAAGTTGTAAAAACAGCAAGATCCCATCTGTGTGTAGGTCAGCTTTGTGGTGCATCTCACATACAACATGCACTGCACTGTGCATGTTGTCACATTTTCTCTGAGCAAAGGATTCCATGACAAAAGTCAGTAACAAGAGTGTAAGCGGGCATTATTAGCGGATTTTTTAACATGCAAACAAGCAAAATCTATTGCCTTTATTCAGACTAATTCTCTGATATCAGTATATGGGATCTGAGAATTGTGTTGTTGCATCTTAATATGAATTTAGATATTTAAGAGTTAGATTAAGCCAAGTGAATAATTTCCAGACTCTTTCTTCTGTTGTCATCTGTCTGTCATCATTAAACCTTATTTAATCTCTGACTTGTAATTTTGGGTGGTTCACATAAGATGTCTGAAGAGGCCTGATTTATAGAAAGTTCTGAACATCCACTCTCTGCAAGTCATAAGAACATAAGAACGGCCGTATTGGGTCAGACCAAAGGTCCATCTAGCCCAGTAGCCAGTCTGCCGACAGTGGCCAGCACCTGGTGTCCCAGAGAGCGTGGACCGAAGACAATGATCAAGCGATTTGTCTCCTACCATCCATCCTTCCCCAGCCTTCCACAAACAGAGGCCAGGGATACCATTTCTATCCCCTGGCTAATAGCCTTTTATGGACCTAACCTCCATGAAATTATCTAGCTTCTCTTTAAACTCTGTTATAGTCCTAGCCTTCACAGCCTCCTCTGGCAAGGAGTTCCACAGGTTGACTACACGCTGTGTGAAGAAGAACTTTCTTTTATTAGTTTTAAACCTGCTCCCCATTAATTTCATTTGGTGTCCTCTAGTTCTTCTTGAAGTCAGTCTTCTTGAATGCATCTCATGTAGGACACTGAGGCATCCCAAATCACTGGTCTCTTATGGGGAAAAAAAAAACCAAAATAGACCAATGGAACTACAAGATGTGAGATCTTCTCTTGCTTTTGGCAAATCTTGGTAGGGAATGGAAACTCTATCTTGGACCAAGGAATAATGGCACCATGGATATGAAGAGAGCATGCCTTTGAGTCAAATGCATCAAATATTTAACAACAACCTTAAAGATCTTCCTGATCCATGTCAATAGAGAAACATCTGAGAATGATAAAAAGTTTGGTAAGGGGTTTATTATTAGTAAAATCAATGCTGTAGGGAATGGAAACTCTATCTTGGACCAAGGAATAATGGCACCATGGATATGAAGAGAGCATGCCTTTGAGTCAAATGCATCAAATATTTAACAACAACCTTAAAGATCTTCCTGATCCATGTCAATAGAGAAACATCTGAGAATGAACTTCAATAGCTGCTTGGAATACAAACACATGGGGCAATAGAAGAGTGTAACACGTGATAAGATGGAAGGGAAGATAAAATGTAACCATTAGCTCACATGATTACACAGCTTAGTTTGTAAAGAGTCCAAGAGCCCAGCAGGACCACAGATGTTCTAGGTCCAGAGAGTCCAGGTGGAGGACTGGTGGATGGGAACCCTGCAGGCCACCAGGGCAGCGAGCTACCAGCAGCAAGCTCAGAAGGTCTGGGAAACCCAGTGGAACCAGCAGGGCAATGGGACTGGAAACAGGCTCCCACTGGCATCTGGACCAGGGCTAGGGAGGACTAGAAATGATCTCCCCTGGTCAGGCAAAATCCCTTATCCGGGACCGATGCGGTCCCAAGTGTACCACACCAGGGAGATCCAACCTGTATATAGTCTTCTGTAATAAACAAATAAATAGTGTTTCAGCTCAACCTAGCCATTATAGTTTGCTGATTTCTTGCAGACTAAACAACAGATGTTGGCCTTGGGCTTTAGGGGAGAGGCATTTGGGTAAATTCACATGATATCTTACTGTTACATAAACTACTCCATTTGTGAATATGAAAAATATTACTGGCTTACTGGCACTGTTCATCTCAACCATTGTTATACATTTCTCTCCACATTAGTGAAGTGCCATCATTTTTGCTTATTTTTGGTACATAATAATGAAGAACATAAGAAGCAGGGAAGTGGGAGCAGATAGCTTTATTTGAGGGAACACAAGAACCCTGTGCCAACTACAGGCAACACACAAACTGCTCTGATCTCACAGTAGCCTGAGATTAGATGTTAAGTGACTGTTGGTGTGAATTTAGGTTTTAGCGGAGCATACTTTATTATTGACACAGCTTGCAATTTATGTGACAAAATAAGGCAAGTCCTGATGAATATGAATACTTTGCTCACCTGGACAGAAATCAGTTGTCAGCTGAGGGATTGTTCTGAAGATACTATTATTAATCATTTCTGTACAATAGCAAGTGATGTGCTGTACAATCAACATCTATCTTCCTTTCTCTAACTTAATTTCTCATACAAACAAGGACAAATAAAATTGAATAGATAATAATTTAATTTTTACAAGGAGATAATTCAAGGGGAATGAAATAATGAAAGGTGTGAATTGGAGGGAATACGTAAATAAGTAAAAAATGCAAGTATTAAGTACTAATTTAGAAATTAGTCTATCAAAAGAAAAGTTGAAGTGGGATCAATTCACAAAACAGTGTAAATTCAAGCCACATCCCTCTACATGCTTGATTCGGCTCAGATTTTTATGAATAAAAGTGTGCTGTGCTTCTTAACTGTAATTACTGGGACAGACATACATTAAGAAAAGGCTTTTTTATTGTATAATGAATTACCTTCTCTGTGCAGGAGAGGCATTGTCAGATGCTTTGACAGTGAGAGCATAGGATCTCCCTACTGACAATACAACTCCTGGAGCGATGGTGATAAGGCCCGTTTGGTCATTAATGATGAAGTCTCCCTGGTCCCCAGCCAGGATTTCATATATGATCTGCCCATTTGGCCCTTGGTCTTCATCTATGGCACTGAGCTGAAATTGAAAATCAGAACGTAAATACTCAGGAGTCAACCCTCCTTCCTTCCTATTTTGTCTTCTCTCAACAAGGGATCTGGCTTTGGAAAAGAAAGTTGTCAAAGCAAGAAGAAACAATTATTCTGTATCAACTGATTAAAATTTTGTCAAAGCAATATGTAATTTAGATTATAATATTAAAAATGAGTAAAAGAAGATTCCACATCCAGAAAATAAATCTAAAATAATTGACCCTGAATGTATTTAGGGATGCATATAAATTACAAAATCTAAGCACTAATGAAAATCTAATTAATACAACACTGATATTATTTTTTAACCCAAAGTCATTTTATTTAAAGAATAAAATAAATGTTTAACCTGGAGATCTGTGATTTACTCATGGAAAGGCTCCCTATATATCTACTTTTAATTTGCATTGAGGTAGTGCTACCATAAATTATGATAGTCCCATCTTGCATAAAAACCTCTTCGTGTTAATTTGGGGAACAATGGCTTTATTATTTCTGAGCAGTGGGATAAGTTAGTGTTCCACAGACAGATTAGATAGCCAAGTTCAGGTGAAAAGATAAAGGTGTAGGAGCTTGCACGCATTTATAAAGAAAAAGAGATATAATAGCAACTCTGTTTTTGACATTTCTCCCACAAAATAAAGCTCTGATACCCAGGATGTTCAGGTTTAAAGTCTGCTGTCTTACAATCCAGTAGGGCTAGAAATGGGTTTATACCATTTAAAATGGTAGATGCCTATATTTGCCATGAGATACATAGTAGTTCTTCCTCCTTACACCTGTATATTATCAGTATATGTTATGAACAGTCTCTCATAGGAAATATAGGGAGTGTACTTTTTTAACCAAGTGTACTAAGATGACTTGGAACAACAGGGCTATGTCTACACTGGCAGCTTCTTGCGCAAGTATGCCTGTTCTTGGGCAAGAATCCGCAGAGTGTCCACACTGCCCACCGGCTCTTGCGCAAGAAGATTTACAGTACGGCGTGCTAAGAGAGGGCTTCTTGTGCAAGAGCTATGCTCTTTTCTAACAGGTGTAAGCCCTCTTGCGCAGGAGCTCTTGAGCAAGAGGGCAGTGTGGACGCTCAACAGGGATTTCTTGTGCAAGAAAGCCCTATGGCTAAAATGGCCATCAGAGCTTTCTTGCACAAGAGAGCGTCCACACTGCCATGAATGCTCTTATGCAAAAGAACACATGGCAGTGTGGACATTTTCTTGTGCAAGACTTCTTGCACAAGAACCCTTATGCAAAATGTTCTTGCACAAGAAGCCGCCAGTGTAGACATAGCCCAGGTATATCCTGTATTGACTAGACATTGTTAATATTATGAATGCATGATACAACAAATACATAGGCTACGTGTATACTACAAGGTTTTTGCACAAAAACATCTGTTTTGTGCAAACACCATGGAGCATCCACATTTCAAGCATGCTTTTGCACAAGTAAATGGACAGGAAAATAGCAGAATGGGGCTTTTTGAGGTGTAGGTAAACCTCCTTCTACAAGGCATAACTCGTTTTTGTGCTACAGCTGTTGCGCAAAAAGGCATGTGTGGACGTTCTATGGGGGTTTCTTGCACAAATAGAGCCTACCCGAAAAAGCATAGATGCTCTGATGGCCATTCTGTTAATGGCTATCAGAGATTTCTTGTGCAAGAGTATCATACAGTATGGATGCTCTCTTGCGCAAAAGCACAATGCGAAAGCGATGTGCTTTGAGGTGCGGACGTGCTTTTGTGCAAGAAATTTTTGCTCAAGAACTCTTCTGCAAAAGACTTCATGAGCAAAAACCCTACAGTGTAGACGTAGCCATATAGAAGAAGTAGGCAGTGTTTTCACTTCAGTTGGTTGGAATTCAGGAAGTCTGTACAGGCAGTCCCCGACTTACGCGGATCCGACTTACGTTGGATCCGCACTTACGAACGGAGCTTTTCTCGCCCCGGAGCTCACGGGCGGCGGGACAGCCCAGAGTGCAGCAGTCCCGCCACCGCATCCTCCGGGGCGAGAAAAGCTGCTCCGTGTCTCCCTAGTGTGCTGGGGGGGGGACTCCCCAGCACAGCAGGGAGACCTGAGCAAAGCCGCATAGGAGGCGGGACACCGCTGCCCGTGCGGCTTTGCTCCTTTGCTCCGGAGCTCCTCTGCTCCTTTGCCTCTGCGCCTCTGCTCGGGTCTCCCTGGTCTGCTGGGGGGAGGGGGAGAGGGGGCGCAGCTAGTGCGCCCCCCCCCAGCAGACCAGGCTTTTGTTGCGGGACTCATGGGGTAGAGCAGCTGGGGTGCTGCCGGGTTGACCTGCGGGAACCTACCCGGCAGTGCCCCAGCTGTTCTGTCCCAGGAGTCCAGATTCAGCTGCTGTTGAAACTGATCAGCGGCTGATTCCAGGAAGCCAGGGGCAGAGCAACTTTGCCTAGGGCTTCCTATAGTCAGCCGCTGATCAGTTTCAGCAGCAGCGGCTGAATCTGGAGCCAGTTCCGACTTACATACAAATTTAACTTAAGAACAAACCTATAGTCCCCATCTTGTATGTAACCCATGGACTGCCTGTATTTCTTGAGCACCCATCCAAAGCAGGCAAAGTTTAGCACAGTCCTAGGCGAAATACGGCCAATGGGCCAAGCTCCTTTCTGCACCCAACATCCATCCCAAAACCCTGCACCTTCTCTGTTAATATCATGGAAGAGTTTGGCCCTCAACCACTTTCCAAATTCTTAGTGTCACCGCCATCGAAAATTATGGCCCACCCCTGGTCTAGCATTTCTCTTTCCATATGCAAAATGAACAGATTATTCATAAAAACACGTAAATATCTATAAATAAATCTGTGATGGTGCATGTCCCTTCAGCTTTATCTCATAGAAAAAAAATCCTACCTATCAGGGGATTGAGCACTTGAATAAATTGCCTAAGGAGGTTGTGGAATCTCCACTGCTGGAAATATTTAAGAGCAGTGTAGAGAGACATTTGTCAGGGATGGTCTAGATGGTGCTTGGTCCTGCCACGAGGGCAGGAGACTGGGCTTGATGATCTCTTGAAGTCTCTTCCAGTTCTAGTATTTTATGATTCATATATTAGAAATACCATCTTAATTAACTCCTCAACGTGAGGGAAAGGCATATTAACACACAAGCAGAGTGAACAATGTAATGACAGCAGACATCATGTTAATTGTGGGGGATAAGGGATTGACAAGGAGTGAGTAGTTTGGAAGTGATCAGTTAAATGGACTGACAAATGAAAGAAGAAGGGACATAGAAGGAAAGAAGTGAAGGGAATGAGGAGGTGGAGAAGAGAATAAGAGGTGCAAGAATGGAATGAAGCTGAAGAGACTGTGAGAGAGGGTGGAAGGGAGGTGATTGGCACAAACAGCAGATCAACACAGTGCAGACAAATTCCAGTAAAACTCTAGAAAGTTCTCTGAATGTCTGATACTCCCAAACTTGGCTGCTTCTGCAGCTTCCTGATGGCTACACCTCTGACTGATCCTTGTCTTTGCCTTTTTCCCCAATGGGAGAGGGAAGCAACACCCAGGACCTGATTTCACCATTGTTTGCAAATGTGGGACCCTCTCCTGCACCGTTCTGAGTCAGTTGTGCATGTGTGTAGCTGGAAAGTCCAAACATAAAAATTATGAATTCCCCATCAGTTGGCCAAAAAATGCCTATTTTCTTTCCATAAAATATGTAGTTTGTTGCTATAGAGAACAGCTAACAAGTTACTTCTAGGATTTTGTATTAACATGTCTTACCTCTACTTGCAGAGCCTGCAAGCAGTCAATACATGCAATATGGCACACTGGAACCTTTGGGCTGCCAACCGTAGATCACACAGAGGCAGTACTGTCAATCACCTCATCTTTCTGGGTGAACAGCAGTGAAATGAAAGTGACAAAAGAAATTCATATCTCCCCCCTGTTACTTATGTTTGGTGTTGGGTAGCAGGCAGTACAAATCATCAATAGGCATTAGGGGAAGAAGCAGGGGATATGGAAATCTGTAAGAACTGACACTAAGCAACTCTGACTTCAGAAGTTTTCTCTATTGGGCTCATACAGAAAAAAAAAAGTGAAAACAATAGTTCCTCTGAAGGTTTCTGTTGGCCCATTTACCTTCATTTCTTGCCCTCATAACCACTAATGCAGCCACAGAGTGAACAAACTTGGTAGTAGGTTCAGGTAACTGTGAGTCAGAAATCCTCCTCTTTGCCCTGCAACACGGTAGGTTCAGGTAACAGAGTCAGAAATCCTCCTCTTTGCCCTGCAACACTCAGCAGACTTGCTGAAGCATTTGTGGAGGTGGCCTATTGCCAGACTGTCACACAAATCGTCTCCTGGATTAGAATATAATGTACCCTATTAATCAACATATTACTACACTACCAGCCCTGGTCATGTCACTGCAGTTCAGAGAACATTATTCATAACCTTAGAGCCATCTGCTCCCAAGACCCCTGGTGAAAGGGAAACAAGGAGGAAAGGATACACAGAATCCTGCCGCTAGAGCAAGCAGGGAGAGTACAAGCAAAGCTGCACTATGCAAGATAATTGCATTTACATATGATTCTAAGCTACAGGGAGTGAATAAAACACTGAGGAATGTAGCTGATTTTTTTTCAGAATAATATTGCTAGAGTACATAAATAAGTTCAGCAAATTAAAAATTTTAATGTGCAGAGTGATGCACTTAGTCAAAAAATATCCAAGTTCAGTATAGGTCAGTATAGTATAATTGCATTGAATTAGTTAATAAGATAAAATAAAATTAGCTGGGTATATTAGTAGAGCCAACATTTAAATTATAGATTCAGTGTGCTGCAGGTGCCAGAAGGCTGTTACTGCACTTTCACACTCTATGCAATGTGTAGAGTCAACCCTCTCTCTAGAATCCATAAGATATAGGTAGTTGTAATTAAATGTACCCTAGGTAAGATGCACTGACCCTGAAATAAAAGTGTAATATTGTCTCCACATACAGTATAGCAATATAAG